GTGAAGGTGTCATTGCTCCTTGGCTGTCTTGTTGCTGCTTAAGGAGGAGCTGTCGGTCTGTTTTGTAACAGTAAGTTAAGTCGTAATACTAGAAATACTTGGATTTTTTTTAAATGTCTAATTTTTATTTTTTTTATTTTTTTTTAATTTTTTTGCAGACCGGTAGGTTCTAGTCTATCAGAAGTTTCTCTTTATTGTTTTGAATAGGAGTGCCGCATCTTTAAGGATGCCTCATTTTAAACACTCAGCTCAAACTTTGTGACCAAATAAAACCATCCAGTTCCAGAGTTCCCTTTCTTGCCCCAACTTCAGACTCCTGTGGTGAAATATCTACTCTTACTTCTGTATAGTTGCTGACCTTTCGTTACGTGTGTTTAATAGATGCTGTTATAGAACAAAGTTACAGCTTTTTTTTTTTCTGTTAACCATTAAAATGATTCCTGCTTGTAGTTGTTCTCAGCATATTTTACATTTTTTTTTTCTCTACTGGAAAAAAAGCAAGTTCACAAAATATTGTAAAGTTAGTTCAGTGTAGGGAAAAAAACAACAACCCCAAACAATTTTGTATCTTGGAAATCCATCGTATCGACCTGTGTTGCTAATAGCATGACTCTGTAACGATTTCAGCGTCGCTATGTCTTTTGCCCTTTTTTGTCACACTAGTGTGGTATTGACACATCCAAGCCAGAACGATATGCCATAATAAAAAGGTGGGATTTTATGTGTACGCTGGTGGTGAGAGTGCACTAATGTGAAGTGTCCGCGTCCCTTCAGCTCACAAGACTTCCTCCAAAACCAACTTTTTTTTTTGCAGCCCACTTCTGCTGTAGAAGTTTTACCAGATCACTGACCCCAATATTTTATAAGAGGGGCTAGAGTCCATTTTGTGGAGGGAAGAGAGGATGAGCAGAACTCCAGTCCAGATGCACTTGAAAGAAGCCAGCAGAGACGGTTATGTGGAAGGAGTCCTCAGCTTGAGGCAACACATGTAAACTCTCACATGGTCTAGAGGGGGGTGGCCAACCTGCGCCTGAGAAGGAGCCAGAATTTACCAATGTACTTTGCCAAAGAGCCACAGTAATACGTCAGCAGCCCCCCATTAGCTCCCCCACGCCTGCCGGCATCCCCACTGATCAGCACCTCCCCCTCCCCGTGCCTCCCACAGTGTGCAGGAGGCTCTGGGGAGAAGTTGGGAGGAGCGAGGGCAAGGCAGGCTCAGGTGAGGGGGCAGGAGTGGAGTGGGGGCAGGTTTTGTGGCAGAGCCAGGGGTTGAGCAGTGAGCACCCCCTGGCACATTGGAAAGCTGGTGCCTGTAACTCCAGCCCCGGAGTCGGTGCCTAAAGAAGGAGCCGCATATTAATTTCTGAAGAGCCGCTTGCGGCTCTGGAGCCACAGGTTGGCCACCCCTGGACTAGACTCTTACCTAAGGTGAAAAGAATTCTGGCCATTCTGCTGTCCTAGCTATAGGGGAAGCAAAAGTCTCAAATGCTAAATAATCGTTGGGTTAAAGGATTACTGCATCTTCCAGCCGGCAACCAGGAGTTTGAGAACTAGCTGGAGATTAGTCTTGACCATTTGCAACAAAAAGGCCTAGTAGCCAAAAATAGGCAAACAACTGCCATAAAACAAGACTCATCTCAAACCAAACCTTGGTGGGGCAGAAGATGTGAGATTTTTTTTTTTTTTTTTTGCCTAGGGTGTTCCTTCTGACTGCACTTTCTGCTCTTGTGGAGGCAAAAGTGCCCAATTCTGGCAGCCCCATTTTTGCATCGAATCTTAAACTTTCAAATAAGTAGTGCAAACTCCTTGTATGTTAGTAGTGAAAGGCAGAGAGTTTTAACCATATTGATGATTGCCTCTGCTACGCAACAGTGCAAGAGGGTACAGGGCACTTAGAGATAAGTTGCTTCATTCTGTTTCTTTGTGTGGATGATCTGAAGGGGAGAGGGCTGTGGAAACTGATGTTTAACACCTTAAGTGTATTAACTTCCCAGTACAAAGTGTGCACCTGCAAAAGTTACTTCAGAATTCAGCTACCCATGAGCTGGCTTTCTGGTAAATAAAGGGAATCCCATGTGTAAGCATGACACTCTTGGGAAAACAGCTGCAGAACAATCTCTTGACCGAGTTGGTTTATAAGACAGTCTGCTAATACTGGAATTTTCTGAAGAATCAGATTTAGTTTAGGTGTAGAGGTCCTGTCAACTTTTTCATATACTCCTTTTTTATTTAATAAATGGGAGTAGTTTAACAGGCTCTCTCAATAGTCAGGTGCTTTAGTGAAGAACCTAACATAGCATGGACCAGTGGAAACAACCTGATGCAGAGTGGGCCCAAATCTGAAACACTTGGTGGTGTTGGCATGTGGCTTACTAGCTTCTCCACTCCTTGTTCAAATTGAAGCTGGAAGCTACGTATTTTAATTTGTACCATCTAGTATGATGAGACATTTAAGGGTCAATATTTTTTCCTGCATAAATATAGGGTTCAAGTTGGGCTGTACCAAACTGGCTGTTAAGCCAGCCTTACTCCTCCTGTGTGTGTTTTCTCATTGCAGCCACTCATAGTACTGAAACGAGGGAGCACTGTGTCCCTAGTTAGATCCCCCCCACTTTGGAATTGCTGTATGTATCAGTAACACCATGTAACAAGAATCCTCCTGTGAGATTCTGTTCCTATAAGGTGCTATTCACACAGTCGAATGTAACTTCTTAAGGTTCTTTAAATAAAACTATCCTGTTTTTTGTGCTATTGATAGTAACATCCACTCCTGACTAAAAGACTTGTCATGTTCCTATTGCATTCTACCTGCTAAACCTACACCATTAAACGCTATTCCAAAATGTTGAGTCAATGTCTTCTAACTCATTACGGTAAATACCTAGTAGAGTTTCAAGACGGCTGATTCAGCCAGGGTGTACAGCTGGCTTGTCGATTGTTTGCACGTGAGGGGATTCACATGCAACAAGCAGTTTCTCCAGCAAGGGCTTCTGTTTAGCTCAGGGGGATTCTGCCTGGGAATAACGAAGTGTGTGTAACTATAGGACCTACCCCTGATTTTATAACTGTAGCTTCTGTTTGTTCTTAGCCCTTTGACACATGGCAAGTCACTTGTGAACTGATTGCTAAGAGTTTGAGCACTAAAATCCCTGCTAGTCAGTGGGAACTGCAGATGCTCAACACCTCTGAAAATTAGGTTGTGGTAGGTTCCTGATCTGTGAAATAGGGAACATGTGCCCTACACACCTGTCTTGTGAGCGCCGCGTGTTGAACTCGGAAGGAAAGCATTGTAGAAATGAGAGTATTAACCCCCAACCTTCTAATAAAAATATCTTCTTACCCAGCCCAGTGCTACCATCCCTGCCTGAGTGGCTAAACTAAGTAATAAAAGGGATAACTTCCTCCTCCCTGGAGCGTAGTCTCTGCGACAGAGTTCAGATGTTCACTTTTACAGGCTCCAGCTAGGCAGGTGTTAGTCAGTTACCAGCAAATAATCCAGTTAATGGGATTCTGAATCCATGCCCTGATGTGTGTGCCTAAACTACAAAAAGCAAATTACACAGGGATCATTCAGCTGGCGTCAAGGGCAAGGAAGTACTACATTGTTTAGTGCCTGTTTGTACTTGTGTAGCCCCAATCATGAACCAAGAGCCTTTTGTGCTAGGCACTGTACAAATAGAACAGAAATGATGGTCCCTGCTCCAAAGAGCTTGCAGTCTAAGTATAAGATGAGATAGTTACAGGAAGATGGGGGTATACAAGGAAACAATGAGAGAATACATATAGGGCTTGGGATTGAACAAGCATTATCCAGGATCTCAACCAAGTCAGGATGTTGTCAGACAAGCTTCTGCTGCAAATTTTCTCCCTCCACACCATTGCAGAGCATGCTGTCCACCTGGCTACTGCCCTTCTCTGTGCACAGAGCATTTCAGAAGTGCTGTGTGTCCATTTTCAGCGTTTGACCTAGTTGGACTAGGAATGGCTGTAGTGACATGTCACATCCAAATCAGCATTATGACATGATGGTGCATCACAATGTAATAAATGCTGCGTTGTGCGGATCCTGAAAGTTGATTTGAGAATTCGTGAATGCCCCACAGGTCTTGTGGGGCACAGAGTTGTGGTCTTGGAAATACAAGGCTGTATGTGTGTCATCACAGCCATGATTTCTGAGAGCAAAACAAAAATGATTTGTTCCTTAGTTTTTCATTAAAACTCCTGGGTTTTGTCATCCTAGCCAGCCTGATTTAGAATGAGCTCAACTCCACCATGAATGATCTAATCTCTAGTAAATTATTAAACTATATGTAGTCTGCTGGAGTTTTCCAATGGGGTTTAGGTCTTTTAAAAATATTTCAGATTTTCAACCACTTTTATTATTTAAATTATGGTAGTGCCCATCAGGCGCTATCCAAACATGAACAAGAGAGAAAATAGTCTAATACATAGCAAATGCTGATTGCACATTATGAGCACTGTGAAATATCCTCTATTGTGTACCAGGACTTCTCCATCTATCTAGAAAATGATTTTTGCAATGATTTTTTCCCCATTCTTTTTAAAAAACCATCACACACATCCAGCCACTGTATCATAGTATGACTATATAGTTAAATGTGTTTGGGCATCTCCTGGATGAAGGGGTGGGTGGGTTATATCGCACTATAAAAATGGAGTAATTTCTTTGATGCAAAGTCTCAGTTTTCACTGTTAAAATGGGATTAACATATCATTAACATTTATTTCTGTTTTCAAACCGTGGACATGATCATGCATAAAACCCACGCTTGACAGAACTGAAAATCAGCAGGAGACAATGGCCTTGCTGAGCTAATGTACTCGGTGGTTTTACTTGTATTTATATGATACTTTGACTTTATTGCTGCATTTCACAAATGATCTTTTTTAGTGGCGATATGGGATTATGCTAAACCAAACAGTCTTGCCCATTGCAATGGCTATTGTCCTCTACTGGCCTATGACAGAGCAACAACAACAAAAAAACTTGGTTAGATGCCACGAAGTAAGTGGCAATGCCTTAACCATATGCGTGTTGTAAAGGTCACTAGGACCTCTTCCATCCTTATCAAGGGGAGTGCTAACCTTCTCTCCTTTCATACAACACAAATACTGGGCACAAGCCCTAAGCTTTTAAATAGCTGGAATACTAAAGTTTTCTCAGTTATGGTGACTAAAGAAATACAGTCTAAAATCAATTAAATAGCATGAAGAGTCAAATAATAATATTTTAACAGATTCATCAAACTAATATGTATTGACTCACCTGGGATTGTCTCTTGGTAATGTGATTCAGAAGCCGACTAATTCAATAAAGCGAATAAAACCAGGCTGTTGCCCGTCTCTCTTTCTCTAATATATTCATCGCTTTTAGCCAATCAGAATACAGGAGTCAGATGATTCGGATACAAGGCGGGGGGGGGGCTGAATTTTAGCTCCTAAAAATACGACAGGATCCTGCTTTCGGCTGTGAAGCTCCTCTCATGGGGCTACCTGTTGGGCGGGCCTGAAAAAGCCCCGCACACGCCAACAACCCGTAACATCCTAGCCGAATCAGCGGTCTCCAAACAGCAGATACATTGACTGGCCATTTTGAATGTGGCAGCTGCAGTTCACAGCGCCTATCCGCCTCACCCACGATGGCGGCCGCAGCGGGGCGGGGCAGAGCCTGATTTATAGGTTCGAATCCCAACTGGGACAAAAAGTTCACTTTTTTTTTTTTTTTTTTTAATAAAAGCCCCAGACCAGCACAGGAGCTCTGTGAAAGCGTCTCTCTTTCACCAACAGATGCTAGAGTGACTAGACAGCAAGTGTGAAAAATCAGGACAGGCGGTGGGAGGTAATAGGCACCTATAGAAGAAAAAGCCCCAAATATTGGGCCTGTCCCTGTAAAATAGGGACATCTGGTCACCCTAACAGAAGCGGGTCCAATAAAAGCGATTAACTCCCCCGCTTTGTCGCTCTAAAAACTTTTTAGAACGTTTACACTTTTTTCTATTTAATTATTATTTTTTCAATGTTGTTTTTTTTTTGTTTTAAAGAAAACTGATGTAAAAAACCCACATTTTTACTGTAGTTTTTTTCATTTCAGGGCTTTAGGCAAGGCTGGCAATTTAGCATTCCCGGGACCCCAAAGGGGCAGAGAGCGGGGACACAATGGGGCTTCAAGGACCCCCAAGGAGGCAGAGAGTGGGGGTAAAGAGGACTTAGAGGTTTCCCTGATCCCCGCCTGTAACACTGATGTCAGTGAAGTGGTTCATACTTTGCTCCAACATGAGGGTGATTCAGTCAGGCCCATGGGGTGTTTTAACCCCTGTAAGCCTTCTATGTGTCACACCTCTCTGGTCCTGAGACACTGAACTGGGGAGCTGGGGAGAGATTGGGCTGGTCTGTATATTGCCATATGAGCACAGTGCCCAAAGAATGCAGGAGGCCCTCAAGAAGTTCCTTGCATTGCATGAAAGGGAAGTCATCTGCAGTGCTGCAGTGGCTGGTCGAAACCTGTGAGACAACTATTATTTTAAAATTTTGCGTGAAAAATGATCAGCATTTTTCAACCTGCTGTATTTGAACAGCACTGAGCCAGATTCTAGGGCAGCTATAATGAACTGACCCACCGTCCCTGATCCAGCGACCCCCAAACTATGGAAAAGGTGCAGTTTCCAGCTCAATGTCCCAGCTCTTTACCAGAGTTTTCTTTAAAGCACCTCTGGGCATATAAGGCCTTCTGTAATGAAACAAGTGCAGTGGGGTGAGTGCACAGGATGGTGTCACAGACAGGGTGGCTGGTGTAGTTATTACTTATTTTGCAGCTCTCTGGGTGCGCCACAGAAGGCTTAGAAAGACACAGCTCTTGCCTCAGGGAGTTTACAATCTCAATTTCAGCTGTGACTTAGGCGAGAGAGACCATAGGAAGGGGATGGGATGCGGATAAAAGGCATATGAGTGTGTTCCTTCTTTGCATATGGAGACACAAACGGATATAAGAGGCATCCTGCAGTTGGGATTTTACCTGTTTGGGTGGCATTTTGTAGGTCTAAAAAGCTCGAGGCCCATGAATGAACTGTTGAGACGTGGGTGTGGTTTGGGGATTAGCATTTTGAATTCTGAATCCCATGTGAATTCTTCCTAATCCCCGTGAAATCCCCCAGAGTTTAGTTCTGTCTCCATTACAGTAGGCAGATTCTGAATGGAACAAACCCAGAACAATTTCCTTAGTCCCAAAAACATGGAGTGCAGAATTTTGGTGGGGGGGGGGAGTATGTGTCCTCTAAAGGTCAGCACAAAGGACGGGGGTCAGTGCTTCTGGGTGCAAATCCTCAGCTGGTGCAAATTGTCATCGTTCCATTGGCAATTTACACCATCCGAGGCTCGGCCAGGGACACTTTTGTGCGTGACCCGAGGTGAGTCATAATCTCTTTGTGGCTCATTTCATCTGTCGGTAAAATGAATACAATAATGCAGCCCTCCCGGAGGTTAATTAACTAACATCTTTGCGATCCACTGGTGGAAGTGCAATGTTTCATTTTTTTATTTCTTCTTTTATGGTTTGAACACATCCAAATAGACTCTTCAGAAAGTTCAATGAAAAATGAGTGTCTAAGAGCAGCTGCAAATTCAGGGTTTACAATCAACAAATATTTCAGGTGCAAACAAACAACATGCTGGTTTTTGTGCCTGCAGCATTCACAATAAACCAGCGTTCCAGCTGCCCCAGACTGAGACCCATTCACTGGGGGATTTGACGGAGACGGGGAAATTAGTGCCATGTGATAAATTATGTCTCTGGTTGGGGATGAGCTCTAAGAAGGATTTACCCGCAAAACCGTCTAATCTGTGCTCGATTTATCCATCTTTCTGGGTATCCCAAAGGTTTAAGTGAGAACATGAATGTACCATGAACTTGTTAATCAAATTTTTCTCAATCAGGGGAGGAATGCAGTTTGCTGATTCCAATTGTCCAGCGCTGATAAATCTCTGTAAATTACATCAGGGCTAATGACGTGATGAGGGACATTTATGCTAATCCCAAAGGTGGCATCAGCACCAAAAACACGCTCTAAAAGAATGGGCGCCAAAGGAAATGAAAGCAAGACGCCAAGGCAAATCAGCAATGGAAGCACCTCAAATTGTGACATCACGAGCGGAGCAGCGTCACGCTTTGGTCATTGCTTGTGTAAGAAACAGGGAGATGCGGCAAATTTCCTGGCCAAATTTCAAATTTCTGCTCCATTAGGTGTTAGATGCTCAGTGACAGCTTAAATATCAGGACTGTTGATGCTTCCATTCCTCCTCTGAGAAGGGAGTGGACGGGTCACTCAGATCTGCACAGTTTACCATGAGTGACATTTCATTTTGGTGACCTAAGCGGGTGGCGTTTGGAGATGCCACCACTTATCTTAACCCTAAATGAGAAGCAGCTATGGCCAAAGAGTCCAGCAGAAGCACTGGGTACATGCAAGCCCCACCAATTGGGAGCCAGGTTCCAGGAGTCCAGTTGAACCACTTGCCACCGTGATCATATTAGCAATGTCTGCACCATCTACTGCAAGGTTCCCAAACTTTTTGCCTGCATGACCCCAATTCTGAGACTTATTGATTCCTGTGACCCCATAACTACATCACTAGAGTCGCTGCTGGAGACTGAACCTCATGCGGCGCCTGCATGGGCCCCGAACAGAAATACGTGCTCCACAAAATGGCATCTTCCAGGCAGTGTGACCTTGCACGTACGATGCATGTGAGGTCACACTGCGCAGAGGATGCCTTTTTGTAGAGCGGGGCTGGACGCATTAGGATTTGGTTTGTATATTCATCTGCTGAGGGTGCAGCCCAACTTGGGGGCACGATGCATAGTTTGGGAACCGCTGATCTACTGTGAGTGACGTCTCTTTCTGGTGATTCACATGGGCGGAGCTTTTGTTATGGGGAGGAGCTTATGAGCTTTAAAAGACTGCAAGTGGTCAAGACTTTGTGCTGCTGACGGTGTCAACCTTTGATGAGCTATAAGACCAATGTGTCAAGGTGTGAGTTCAGTCCTGACTGAAAGACAAGAGTCCTGCCTATTGAATCAGTGGCCTGGTTTTCCACATACCTTGGGATTTCCAGGTTGGGAGCTTCTCATCCAAAATACCTGGCCTACCTTATGAAACTGGACAAGTTCATGGAAGTGGATGGTTTGGTTGAAGGTTGGCGCACATTTACACTAGTTAAATATCTGGCCCTAAATCAGTGTCACTCCATCAGCTCAACAGGGTTATGCTGAATTGTATCAGCTGATGCCAGATCTTCTTTCGTACAATTGGTCTCTCAACTCAGAAACCAATGTAGTTAATTGAAGATTAAAAGTTAGCTTCCTCTGCTTGTTGAATCCTAGGATTTATGGCGGAATGTCATTAATCCTAAGTATACACTTGATCTCCTCCCCCAGGCTTTTGGTCTTCACCATGTTAGACATTTGTTACACTCACATTGTTTTGAGGCAAGACACTGTGTGTGTGTGGGGGGGCGGGGTGTTCATGATTTCAATAAATGGTCTGCATTATTTAGGCAGCTCTCCTAGGCGCTGCTTCTTTGGTTCAACATTAATTGGCCATATTGAGTGCTTGCACTTGACTTAGACAAGTATGTGTTGCCTCCAAGTGAAATATTAATGACCAGACTTGCTACTGAATAGGTCTACAAGGAGATAAGGCTCAATTTCCAGTTGCTAGTCGAGCCATACATCCTAATTAGTGGGGAGATTTCCCAAGGACAAATCCGTACCATAATCATTCAGTTCTGTTGGAGAAGCAGACGGCAAGTCGTGAGCCAGCACTCCTGTTGCCAGGAAAGTCTTTTTCCATTGATTTCAATGGAAGTGAGGAGCCTAAATACTTTTGTGGATCTGGACCATACAAACTGAACATGTACTGGCTCCCTTCTGAATCACCACTGGGCTTTGAACCTGGGGTTTTCAGCTTTAAAGCATTGACAGCTACCACTTGAGCTAAATGAGTAAATTCCATTATTAGGTAGCAATAGTAGGCTATTATCCTGGATGGACCAGCCCCTAAAGGGGGATGCATAATACATTAAGCCAGTAGGTGACATGTGATCAGAACTGGG